GGTTGGGAGGGGGGGGGGGGGGGGGGGGGCGATGGTAAAATCAAACATCATTGAGGGGATAATATTAACCATAGCTATTTTTAGCAGAATTATTTCAAACAGATTTGTTTAAATCAAATACAGCAACAGATGCATTTAAATCAAATATACACAATCAGATGGCTGATACTTTAATGTGTACTTAGAAATGTGATCTGGACCATAATAACCTGTGGTATAAGCCGGAGGAAATAGTCGGTGTATTAATTTTATGATTGCACCAAGTTGGTGTGTGTATATATACCTTTGATAGCTAAAATATGAGGTCGCTAATATAGGTATGTTTTTAAGTATAGCTTGGACACAGTTGTGGTAGATTTTTCAGTTTAAATTTTACACAGTAAAATATACCAACTCAAATATAGAGATGTATATATGGTAATATGTATGTGAATTATTGATTCAGTAAAAACTTCTGGTGACTGGGTAAATTTTCACTATTAAAACTGATGATTTTTAGAATAGTTATATAGAAAGAAAAAAAATATCTAAAGAAGCTCATAAAATGTTATTGTGTGATATATATTATATATCGTAAATGTTTTTAACACTGCTACATCTTGCACTACATCTTGGTAACATCAAATTATCTGTTTGGTCAGTTGCCTTTTGAAAATTGTCAATTACAATGCAGTATTGTTTTGCCACCAGGTGGAGCTGCCGGTTACAACTTGGGATCATCACAAGGAGGCATCGGAGGCCAGGGCAGTGGAATGTACATGAATCTCAATGGAGACAACTACCAAAGCAGCGATAACTCGGTAGGAGTCAATGTCTAACTACAAATCAGTCCAAACCCAGTTCACCTGCCTTATTAAACAACAGTAACCCCCATATACGAATGTCCTAACCTTGACCCAGGATGTTAAGTTGGAACCAATATCCTGACCTTGATCTTGACCTTGACCCATATTCTGAAGCTTTAACTCTGACCCTCTGTCTTGACCCAGACACACACTTCTAACTCGGATAACCGATCTTGAACTAAATTAAAGGTCTAACTCTTTTGTTTGACCTTGCATTGACACAGATACAAATTTCTACCTCTGATGATTAACCTTATCTATAGAAACAAAGCTCGAACTCGTATGTTTGACCTTGACCCGTGGTTACTCTGATGGCCTTACTTTGACCCAGATACCAACGCCTTACAATAATGACCGGATCTTGACCAGGACATAGATGTGCAACTTGATGACATTACCATGACCCAGACAATAATTGTCTAACCCTGACATTAGGCCTTGATAGTAATCTAAACCTGTGCTCTAACTTTGACCTGAAATACATGTATAGATTTACCATATGTTTTAAATTGACCCCCAGACACAAACATCATACTTTCTAAACCCAAAATGTTCTCCATGACCAGCAGTCTGACCCATAATCATTCCTTTAACCATAAGTATTACTTTCTTCATTCCGCTCCTGACCCCATAATTACGTCTGGGCATTAAGATAGAGTTAAGTGCTAACACAGGTTAAAGACAAATCGGCAAACAAGAAGTGTATATATGTATGTAATAGTTTATGTAATAGTTATGTATATACATGAATGTGGTTTTAATGACATAGAATGTTGATGTTGTGAATAGGACTTTTGTGGCCCTCAGTACTGTTGTAAAGTAAAGCATGTTTTAATGTTAAATCTTGTTAGCATGAGCATGTCTTCTGTGCATACACAGACATTACAGTGTATGCTTCACAACACAGTTGTGTTCGTTAGATACAGCTTGTCATATTACGTTTGATGTAGTATTGAAAATATACGCAACTGTATTCAAACCGAAAGTCTCGACTGGGAAGCGATGATTTTGAATGCGCAAGATATATATATATAAAAAGAAAAATTGTCAAGTCTATACATATATATGTAGAAACTTGACAATTTTTCTTTTTACAATATTTCTTCTTCTGTAAAGATTATTTTTCTGCTTTTATAATATGTATATATATATATAAAGAAAACATTGAGAAGTCCTTGTGTTGGAATTAAATATAAAAAATAGAACAAAAGACAGAGATAGCATCTCTAGGCCTTTCTCGGGTTGATTCCCCGTTCATCAGGAGACTGTTTATTTTGAAAACAGGTATTGTGAGGTCATAGTTGTTTACACAAGAAAGTATGACGTCATCAATAATGCAAAGTCATTATGACGTCACAGAAGGCATACACATAAATACATGACGTCAACAACAATACAAGCTAAATTGTGACGTTACATTACTTACAGTAACAATATCAATATATATATATATTTAGATTAGTGACAGTATGCAGGGTTTTCATTTCACTGGAGAAGAAAACTCATCATCAGTCAATGAGACAACCAGAAGAGTACATTTCCATTGGAATCGTACAGTTTAGCTTGTTTCAAATTTACTTGATAGCAGATTGCTGAAGTTTCTGGTATAAACAAAACTGCCATCAAAACTGTTAACAGGGTAGACTCTCTTTCATATTGTCAGTTGAAATGATGATTTTATGAATGAAATATGTTAAAAACATATATAGTTGCTGAAATAAGCAATGTAGTATAATTACAAAATGGAATGCAAAATAATACTAATACCAACACCAGTCAGGATTTCACTGTGATATGTGTAGAAATAGAAATAGGATATGTCATGCAAAAAAATACTATAATTCTACTATTGCATGTGTTTTAGGTAAAACTCATAATTTTTGGAATTAATTGGAAAAAATAAAAAATTTGAATGAAAGTTTCATTATTTCATCAAAAATCTATAAAGCTATAAACTATCATAACAAATTAAAAAAAAATTAGTGTTGATAACAAATTAACACAAAAATCAACCTGTGCTTTCCTTGAACAGAAGTATATCGGTTATAACACTAGGTAAATTGATGTCAAATGTGGTACTTAATTATTAAGTTATTTACGGGTAATTGATAAACAAGTACACCCCACCCACACACACACTTACATAACGTATACAACATGTGATAGACGTATCAACCTCTTGCTGTTCTAAGTAGGGAATTCTTGACAGTTATGATATGTAATGTAGAGAAAATACTGGTATAACACAGAACAAGATGAAATGGTAAGCTGCTCAGTGTTTGTTTGTGGCACGCAGCTAAATAGTTATGGTTATCATTCAAACTGTCAAAACTTTCTCAGGCCAACAGATGTTAAAAGGATAAATGGTACCTTACTGTGACACACAGCTAAGTAAGGATGGTTATTGACATGAATAGGGTAATATGGATTATGACTAAGGTCGGTAAACAAATCGTCATATCACCCTGCTATCACAGTCATAACTTATTCATTATACTGAATAAAAATTCAATCATAGACAAAAACATTTTCATCGTTTAAAAACAAAGAATCAGCAGGTGAATGTAATTTTAGTGAAACTCTGAAAAACTAGAATGTCACAACCTATGTCTATTGTTAGAAGTCCAAATGTTATTAAGTAAAGTAAGAAAAAAAAGTATGAAAAAGAGCTTGGGTGTAAAAAGTTTAAGGGCACAAGAAGGTAAGATGAAGTGGGGACAACCCAGTTTAACGTTAGATGGCATTGTTACCTTTGCATGTGTGTGATGTGTGTGCCTGCTCTGTCCCCAGGTGAATGCGTTGCGGCACGTGATCGCCCAGACAGGGGGGTACAGTAGTGACAACCTACACAGCTCCTCCTCATCATCAATGTACGACCAGCACATGTCCTCGCAGGTACTCCACTCCCCTCGCAGCTGATTGGTCACCCATAAACTCATCCGATTGGTCAGCTCAGTCTTGTCTCCAAGCTGATTGGTCAGAGACATTTCTTGGCATCCAATTTTAATTCCTCTAACTGCCATGTCATAAATGTTGAAAGAAACAAAATTACAGCAATGACTTGTTGTATAAAACCAAGCATTCTTATATAACTCAAAGTAAAAGCATTCTTATATCTCACTCTCAATGTCACTGACATAAAGCCATTTTGATCCTTTCATCATGAAATTTTTAAGTTTCATCATGAAGTTTATAAGTTTTAGCAATCAATTTTGAGAGAATCATTAACTATTATTTAAGATTATGAAGAAAAAAGGAAAACATTATTCAGTTAAGTTTGAAAACATATTTGTTTTACTTTTAAGAGTTCAATAAAAATTGCCAGGATTATTAAGAGTTCAATAGAAATTGTCTGAATGATTTGGTCCGTTTTGGAGATTGTTTGTTCAAGAATGCTATGACAGTGAGTCACGGAGGAAACATTTTAGACGTTTAAGTGAAGTTGTACAGGTTATGCTATTATTTTGTTATTTTTTGTTGAATACTACTTGTTATGAATGATTTGTTTTTTATGAAGAATCTATATTTAAACTGTATAAATATTGTACCATGTACAAACTGTAGGAATCAATGTATTGTTATACCATTTGCTGTCTTCATGACCTTCACAAGGTCACTTAGGTAGATGACAGGAAGTGCTTCATGACCTTCACAAGGTCACTAAGGTAGATGACGGGAAGTGCTTCATGACCTTCACAAGGTCACTTAGGTAGATGACAGGAAGTGCTTCATGACCTTCACAAGGTCACTAAGGTAGATGACAGGAAGTGCTTCATGACCTTCACAAGGTCACTTAGGTAGATGACAGGAAGTGATTCATGACCTTCACAAGGTCACTAATGTAGATGACAGGAAGTGCTTCATGACCTTCACAAGGTCACTAATATAGAGGACAGGAAGTGCTTCATGACCTTCACAAGGTCACTGAGGTAGAGGACAGGAAGTGCAAGGTCATTAAGATGAAGTGCTATTTTTAACTAAAAAATGTTAGTATGTATCTGTTTTACCCTATAAATGAGAGATTTTCATTCTCCGGTGAAAAAGTGTTCAAGAAATGATCAAAGCATTACATAAATAAACATGCAATGTGTCTTGACAGTCAATGGCTGGTTTCAGTATTTTAAATCAGCAGTTATTTTAAACTCAATTTTTTGGTGTGTTTGTATAATGATAAGCCAATCCCCAAGGTTCACTAGATTCTCTCGTTTCTGATTACAACTTGAAGTTGTCCGATGCAAACATGTGAAACAATTTCGTTTAACTCACTCACCCCTAAAGACACATTTGAACTCTTCCAATTCAAAGGTTGGAATAGTTCATTATGAAATTTCAGGGGTAAATGAGTTAGTTAGATTTTCACTGCTGGACATATAAAAAGCATTTATGTACGTGATGACTTACATAACTGTTTGCTTTGTGTACTTGTTGTGTATGTTCATGAGGATGGTAGAGAATGCTGCATGTATTACCATATTTAATTACGAGCTAGTATCGTGTCATGCATGGCTTGGTACGAGAACAATGAATCATCGTGTTGTTGTAACTGTGTTTTGTATTGCTGGTTTTTGTTTAAAATAACCCACATTCGCACTGTGTTCTGGAATTGGTATTATGAGTTTGGTTTACAGTCAGTTTATTTACTCATGGTGACATGGAAAAAAAAAATCAAAAAAAAATCGGACTTGCTAAAATCGGGTTCCCAAATGGAGAAGGGGCGAACCTATTTACTAAAACTTACAAAACCCAGCAAAATGTTAAACTTTTTTTTACTGTCAGTAGCAATGTAGATTTGTTACCTGAATTCTTTTAGTGTGTGTATTAAGAAGGAATGCTTAAGTGCTGTATGCTGTTGACGATGAAGTGCTGCTTTTGGTAAACTATTTTGTTGTAGACAATTATTGAAGTATTTCTTTCCGATGTTGCTATTTATACAACTGTGTGATTTAGAATTGTCGTAAATATCAACAGATCTCTTCACTTGGTGCTGACAAACAAAAGTATCTGTCCTACATTGTGGTGTAAGGTGTGGGGGGGGGGGGGGGGGGGGGGAACAGGGACATTCATAAGTTACCTTCCATTCCCCTTTCTATGGAGATTCTTCTTTGTGAAATTTTACTATCTAAAAATTGTGTAAGACCACCTCCATGCCCGTTGCCCCTGTCTATAATGTTAGAACTAAGACCAAGTCCTTCAACCCTATACAGTCCCCATTGACTGTTATGTTTGCCTTCCAGAATGTTGGTATACATGTACGGATATGCAAAATATGTGCAAAAAATGTGTTGCAGAACAAATGTTAAAATTTTCAGCTATGGAAGGGAAATAACTCTTGCATAATTTCAGTTTTGGATGGTTTTTCAAATTTCTATCATATTTTTTTATGATTTTTGATAATTAAGGGTTTCAATGTTAATTGATCCATGTACAAAACACAGTGTACACATTTTTTGTTAGCAGGGAATATATAACTTGCTATGACAACGATTTCATTTTACACATAGAGCACATTTTTTTTTAGAAAAAACATAGAAACAAAAAGTTTTTGTTGTATTTCTTATTACTCAATTCCAAACTTATAGATGCTCGATATTGATAATTCGAAAGACATTTTCCTTTGGCTGGTTTGAAAGTGCTGCATCTTTAAAAAACAAATCTCAAACAGAAACCCTGAGTTTCTTGTCTTCTGCATAATTAATAATAATTAGTGATCTAAAAACTATTCCTTGTCGACTTCATACTTTGTTGACCTGTAGTCGAGGTCAAAGGTTATCACTTTGAGTAAGTTGTGGATGATTATGGCGATTACCGTTCCCGTCCACAGCTACAGTAACTCAGCATTACCGCAGGGATATCACAGCCAGGTACCAGCATCCGGACTGCAGCCGACCGGGACAGCCTGTCACAGTCACCAGTGTTTCTTCATCCATATATGAAGGAATATTTGTTAGCTGGGATACTTAGGTTCCACAAATCAAATTACTCCTCTAATTGTTTTTAATGCGACAAGCTTATCGGTATTTTATCGATGTGTTACCACACATTTTTTGGCCAGAAAAGTTTTCAACCAAAGGCATCCATATGTGGTGTTGCCGAGAAGTTAATACTGTCAACAAAATGCGACCTCACATTGTGGGTCTGAAAAGTTTGTACTGTGAACCAAAAGCGCTCAGACTAACAGCTTCCATTGTATAACCCATTGATCACTGTATTTTGTTACTATATGGTTACAGTCATGTTGGATTTTCAGCATTGGAAGTCAATTTAAATCAAAACTAATTAAACATGGCATTAGAAGCCGCAAATACAAGATCATCATAAATTATTATTAAAAGTCATTTTAAAACACAAGTACTGGGAAAGATAATACCAGGAGAACTCACTTTGGTTTCAGTAAATTGCAGAACTTTTTTCTCTGTCCCACCATTTTATTGGGGGCTTAGATAGTGATTCCCATGTCTGTCGCGTCCCCTCCTGATGCGATTCATTGTCCTGATACTACCGACTTCATTTCAAAGCAGAATTTCATCAAAGTTCATACAAAGATCAATTATGGGGATACTTTTCAAAGCTAAGGTTACTGCTGCTATTAAAAAGTCAACCACACAGCCGAGGGCGCATTTATGTCTTACAGACGATTTCTAGTTTTATGTTGTAAATTTAAGCTACAATGTTTTGAGTTTTGAAAAAATAAAAATTAAACTCTGGATAATGAGTTTAGTACGAGTGATATAGATATTGTGATGTATCTAAATGACTGGTAACTCTAGAACGGATACAGTTTATCCTGTACAGTAGTTATACCTGATTTGTTCCTAACCTAAATTATTCTGCCAAAATCAGCTGTAATTATCTGTGTTATTGAATGTCTAGAGTTTACATTTTATCAGCCTCGTTTGATTAGTTAAGATGTGGTTGCAGCTAGAATTGTATTACAGAGTATCAAGTTGTCCTGTTCTATAGCAGTAAATTACTTCTTTTTAACCTAATTTACCAAATTACTTTTGTTTTAAGAACACAATTTAAAAATCAGATTTTAACATGGTTAGTATTTCATGCACTTTATGATTGATACATTGCTGTCATTTTTTGTAAGTGTAAGTTTCAGATCATTCATGTTATCGGAGCTATTTAAACTGGCAATCATAGGTGGATTACATCACAGATAAATTGTTGACCCCGAGACATTACCTTAGTGATGACCTCTTCACCCTTGGGTTCACACTTTGTTCATTTTGAGATATTTATTTGTAGTGCCAATATTCATTAGCATAGCTGACTCTGTGTTGGTGTTTGACTTTGTTCATTAGTGTAGCAGTTCACTTTCATATCTTCCTACAAAAGATTCTGTTGGAAGGGAAGCAACTCTGTTTAGAATCATAGAAAGGGAGATAAATCTTGTTTGAAGAAGACAGTTATTTTAAAATCTCTGGTAACTATTGTTATAACCTCTACAAAATAATTTGATAATGAAGTATAACAAGGGCCGAGACATGGGTAGCTTTCAGGCCGTGCAGTTTCAGGCTAGTGTTTGACTGTAGGGTTGGTGAGGTTACTGGGAACACTTCACTGTGCAGACCTGTGTGTCTGATAGGGTTACAATGCACATTGTACAGAAAGTGTGTGAGATCACGGAAAAGTGTCGGGAGACCTGGGATAGCACATGAATGTGTAAAGAATAGCAGGGTAAATAGATTTAGATATATCTGTCTGTCTGTCTGTCTGTCTGTCTGTCTGTCTTAGTTGGCTTTTATTTTATTCTGTGAGTTATGTAAACATGATAGCAAGAGTAGGTTCATTCTCCTAATTATTCAATGAACAAATGAACCATTTCTTCCCTCAGTGCTCAACAGGTGGGTTTTTTGACAGATCTTATTGTATAAACATTGCGTAACAGCGGTCATTTCAGAATCGCACCAAACTCTTGACACGGTTGTTAGCTAGGAACATTTTCTCATCTTCCATGCATCTGATGCTTCAAGAGATTTTTATGGAATATCAAAACAAAAATGAAATTTTTAAGTTTGGGTCAATTTAGAGGACAGCAGCATACACCCCATGCCTTACAAAACTGTAGATGGGGTGGGGGGTATTGGGCGGGACCATAACCAAAGTCTGTGTTTGTCCTTATATTCCATATAATACATTACAGAACCTGTCAGGATGTTTGCTTGTAGGTAATTTCCCAAGGTGAGGTTGATCAAATTTTCTTTATTTAATGCAAGAAACATGTTTCCATTGAATTGACAATTTGAATATTAAAGTTCCTTCTGTAGGTTGGCAAGTGTTTGTATCAATCTAATGCTGGAGTTAAGTTTTTCAAGCTGTTTTGTTTTTATTTTGTTTGTTTGGTGCACTTTTTCATAAATTTAATTGGTTGTGCAGACATAATTAGTTGTTACAAAACAGTGCCATACATATTTGTTTACTTGTGTTTTATGTTTGTTTTGTTTGTTTGTTGAAAATATACACATATTTGACAATTTTTTCCTCATTTTTTTTAAAATAAGTTGTTAGTTCATTTTATTGAAAAAGTGTCATATCTCTCCATGAATGTATGAGAATCATTTTATACCTGTATCACAATAACATAGACTACTGATCCGTGTAGAGGACGGTAAGCATTCAGCACCAGGGTCCAATATTTAAAACTGGGTTAGTTTATAAAGTTCTTTTCAAAAGTTCAAACACAATTTCAAAACTGTTTTGTAATTTTCTCTTCTAAAATCTGCCTTTTTTGGTTTTCAAAAAATGAAAGCTTGATGTCAATAACATATAAAGATATAAAGAAAATGTCCTTTTTTCACTTAATCACAAGATAATGAAATCGCAATTAGTAGAATGCAAAACATTTGTTCTGATGCTAAAAATACCACATACTTACGTGAAAACATAAGCATGAGGAAAATTCAAATGTGGAAATTGATGTTAAGTGAATTTGCAAAATTTTATATTGCGTAAATAACCAAATAGGTATCCAGTAGGTGTATTCTGAGACATTTTTGCGGATATGTGTCTTCTGAACATTTGTGTTAACTCCTTGGTAAGGTAATGAAGTTTTAAAGATCGGAACCCTGGTTTGTACCAAGTACAAACATACATCAATGTCCCCATAAGCTACTCCTTTCATCCCCACAAATCACAATAGACTGGTGCCATTAACTGTACAGGAAGAATCCATTTAACTATGTGGGGTTGAATGGGGCCAATATATTTGTTGTGAAGTGTGTAACAAAAAATAAAGAGATTCTTTGTGATTTTTTTTTTGGATTTGAAAAATCTTATGTGTGAAACATTAATGACTTGTCGTCATTTTCTTAAATATATTGTTATCATATAAACAGCATTGATTACCAACTTGTTCATGTAGTGTCACTGTTTTTGTCTTGGTTGTCGATATATTTCACCAATATTTATTATTGAATGTTTTTATCAGGATACTACATGTACAAACATTGTCAACAAATCTCAAGAAAAGCTTTTCCTTTGTAAACATGACCTTTATTTTTGAAGGTCAAACGGTGTTGAATAAGACTTTTTGTGTATTCGAGTTACATACTCTGTCAAAATTGAATTACAGACTGAATGAATTTTGAAGCGAAAGAGTTTTTTTTCTGATGTTATGATTGGTCAGTTTGTTTTAAGTGGTCAGTGCATATTGTATCGGTCAACTTGTTATAAGTGGGTCGGTGCATATTGTATCGGTCAATTTGTTATAAGTGGGTCGGTGCATATTGTATCGGTCAACTTGTTATGAGTGGGTTGGTGCATATTGTATCGGTCAACTTGTTATAAGTGGGTCAGTGCCTATTGTATCGGTCAACTTGTTAAAAGGGGGTCGGTGCATATTGTATCGGTCAACTTGTTATGAGTGGGTTGGGGCATATTGTATCGGTCAACTTGTTATAAGGGGGTCAGTGCCTATTGTAGCGGTCAACTTGTTAAAAGGGGGTCGGTGCATATTGTATCCGTCAACTTGTTATGAGTGGGTTGGTGCATATTGTATCGGTCGACTTGTTATAAGTGGGTCGGTGCATATTGTATCGGTCAACTTGTTATAAGTGGGTCGGTGCATATTGTATTGACCTGCTTTTTATAGGTAGTGGCCAGTACACATTGTAATGGTGACCGTCTGAACTTTTTAAGTTGTCTTTCTGTTAGCTGTGTGTTTGATATGTTGTCATTTAAAGTCATAAACTCATACATACGGAGACAAAGACATAATAGAAACTGAGATGTGTACAGATTTTATGGACATAATAAACCAAATATAAAGTGATCTGTAGCGTTACGTGTCTGTGTTTATAATCACGGTGGGGTATGCTTGTCAATATTTCCTTCTCTTCAGTGCCAACCTGGTTGAAATTGAACTTTATTTACTTTACAACAATTTTGAAACAAGTTTTTACAACTTATATTAATCACTCTTGTTGGCCCGGGAGAAAACTCACGTGGTCAGGCAGGTGACCCTACACCTATCTTTTCACGTCTGATCGGGGAATCAAACCCCGGTAACCTTGGTGAAAGGTAAGTGTGCTATCCACTGCACCACCTGAACACCCAACCTGCTTTCAAAAACAACTGAAAAAATGTAGATAATGCCAGAATTCAATTGACTTTTAAAAGAAGTCATGTGTTAATTTAATGGTAAAAGATAGCTCTTTGAAGACAGGAAATATTGATTGTAATGACCCTTTATTTCTCTGGTCTATCTAGCTCATGTTGGTCTTTTCTTACTCCTTTGTTTTGACATTGAAGGACTTAATAATGTGTTGACCTTCACTGAAATAATCTGGAAGGATTTTTCTTTATGTGCACAATTTTAAAATGAACCAGTCAAATTGTGAGGATATCACTGTAACTCTTCATACTGAAGGAAATAAAGTTAATTCTCTTGTATTTGATTGGTTGATTTAAAACCCTGTACAATAGCCTCATCCAATGTTCATGTGTGCTTTTACATGTAACAACACAAGTATATTTTATTTAAACCTAATGCTTTTCACATCTTTGTATATTTCTGTTTTATTTTATTCTGTATTCTATTTTTGTTTGTATTTTATTCCTTAATTAACATTTCTGTTAAGTTGTGTTAATCTTTAAGATATATCCTTTTTTTTATTTGGTTTCCTCTGTTTTTGTATATATGTTTTGTTTTTATATTTATTTTCACTAAACCTTTTGTTTACTTTCAAACTAAACCTTTTTCACTATTACTAACTTCTCATACAGATCTGCAAAGAAATGAGACTATAACCTCCGCTCTTTACTAACCTGTATTAACTTCACAAACTGGTCGTCTATGGTTGGGGTTCGGCATTTTAAACAAACATTTTAATAGGCAATTGATTATAACAAACTTTTGTTTTCGACAGAATCAATGGTTCATCAAAATTTCAGTGGTGATCAACTTTATTTTGTTTCGCCCAAAATGGCTTTTGGCTGTGATTTAAAAAAAAAAAAAAAAAAAAAGGAAAAATTTCAAAATCCATGTTAAAAGATAAAAAAAATGACATTAATCTTTATAACTGTTACTGAAGCAATGTAATTTTGAAGAAATGTTTGTTTCAAGTGAAGTTTGGGATTGGGTCAATATTAACAATGCTGCACAGGTTCTAACATGGACCACATGGGGCATGAGTGTTTTAAAACTGTCAAAGTTTTGCCACAATGGAAAGTGATGTGATGGATCAATACCTAACTAGCCACTACAGATTTCAATTTTGCATGAAGCAACCGGGCATGGAATTAATAACATTCAACGGTAATAAAATGGGAAACTTTGCATGTTGGGCAATAGATTAAAATATTCACTAAATTTCTTAGCAGATCTGGAGAGGAATTATATAAATTTATCTAAAACACCCAAATATTTATGTTTAACTGAGAGAAATATCACAAAATCAAAGGATAGCTTTAAAAAATATATATAGTAATATCATGTTTATTATTGATTTTAAAGTAGCGGAAAGTAATGGTTAATTGATATTTAATGGTATAAGAGACATGCTGTCATGTAAATGAAAGAAATAGATTCTCAGTCAGGTAAAGTTTTATACAAAATCCCTAAAATACATTTTTTAGTCAGGTTAACTTTTACATAAAATTCCTGAAATAATTTTTTCAGTCACGTAAACTTTTATATAAAATTCCTGAAATAATTTTTTTAGTCGGGTAAACTTTAAGAAAATTCCTTAAATAGATTTCTCGGTCAGGTAAAGTTTTATGTAAAATCCATGAAATACGTTTTTCAGTCAGGTAAACCTTTAGATACAATTCCTGAAATTATTTTTTCAGTCAGGAAAACTTTTATATAAAATCCTGAAATAAATTTTCAGTCAGGTAAACTTTTATATAAAATTCCTGAAATTACTTTTTCAGTCAGGTAAACTTTCATAAAAAAATCCTGAAATGATATATTCAGTCAGGTAAACTTAAAGAAAAGCCTGACAATAGATTTCTCAGTCAGGTACACATTTATGTAAAATCCCTGAAATTTATTTTTCAGTCAGGTAAACTTTTATATAAAATTCCTGAAAACGATTTTTTTCAGTTGGGTAAACTTTTATATAAATTCCATGAAATAAATTTTTCAGTCAGGTAAACTTTTATATAAAATTCCTGAAATGATATATTCAGTCAGGTAAACTTAAATATAAAATTCCTGAAATATTTTTTTTAGTCTGGTAAACTTAAAGAAAAGTCTGAAAATAGATTTCTCAGTCAGGTACACATTTATGTTAAATCCATGAAATACATTTTTCAGTCAGGTAAACTTTTATATAAAATTCCTGAAATAAATATTCCAGTTGGGTAAACTTTTATATACAATTCCTGAAATATTTTTTTCAGTCGGGCAAACTTTTAAATAAAATCCCTGAAATAATTTTTCTGTCAGGTTAACTTTTATATACAATACCTGAAATTGCTTTTTCAGTCAGGTAAACTTTCATAAAAAAAATCCTGAAATGATATATTCAGTCCGGTAAACTTTAAGAAAATCCTGAAAACAGATTTCTCATTCAGGAACACGTTTATGTAAAATCCCTGAAATTTATTTTTCAGTCAGGTAAATTTATATAAAATTCCTGAAAAACAAATTTTTCAGTTGGGTAAACTTTTATATAAAATTCCTGAAATTACTTTTTCAGTCAGGTAAACTTTCATAAAAAAATCCTGAAATGATATATTCAGTCAGTTATGATTTTATATAAAACCCCTGAAATATTTGTTTCAGTCAGGTAAACGTTTATGTAAAATCCCTGAAATATTTTTTTTAGTCGGGTAAACTTTTAAAAAATTCCTTAAATAGATTTCTCAGTCAGGTAAAGTTTTACATAAAATCCCTGATATAAATTTTTCAGTCGCGTAAAATTTTGTATTAAATACCTGAAATATATTTTTCAGTCGGGTAAACCTTTAATATAAAATTCCTGAAATAATTTCTTTAGTCGGGTAAACTTTTAGAAAATTCCTTAAATAGATTTCTCAGTCGGGTAAAGTTTTATGTAAAATCCATGAAATACATTTTTCAGTCCGGTAAACTTTTATATAAAATTCCTGAAATAGATATTCCAGTTGGGTAAACTTTTAGATACAATTCCTGAAATAATTTTTTCACTCAGGAAAACTTTTATATAAAATCCCAGAAAAAAATAATTCAGTCAGGTAAAATTTTACATAAAACCCTGAAATATATTTTTCAGTCAGGTAAACTTTAATATAAAATACCTGAAATTACTTTTTTAGTCTATTAAACTTTTATGTAAAATTCTTGAAATGATATATTCAGTCAGGTAAACTTTAAGAAAATCCAGAAAATAGATTTCTCTGTCAGGTTAACTTTTATATAAAATTCCTGATATAAATTTTTCAGTAAGGTAAACTTTAAATAAAATTCCTGAAATGATATATTCAGTCAGGTAAATTTTAAGAAAATCCTGAAAATATATTTCACACTCGGGTAAACGTTTATGTAAAATCCCTGAAATACATTTTTTCAGTCAGGTAAAATTTTATATAAAATCCCTGAAATAAATTTTTCAGTCGGGTAAACTTTTAAGTAAAATCCCTGAAATAGATATAGTCAGGTTAACTTTTATATAAAATCCCTGAAATAAATTGTTCAGTCAGGTAAACTTTTATATAAAATCCCTAAAATTAATTGTTCAGTCAGGTAAACTTTTATGTAAAATCCCTGAAATAGATTTCACAGCTAGGTAGACCATTATAAAATAAATCTTGAAAATAGACTCCTAAGGGAGATAATCCTATATGTTAAATTCCTAGATTATTTTAGATTTCTTAGATAGGTAAACATGTACATACGCAAAGGATTCCTAAGCTAGATTTCTAAACTACAGGAAAATCATATACTAGCTTCCTAAGATAGATTTCAAAGTTAGGGGAAAACTGTATATACTAAATACCTAAGATAAATTTCTAAGCTAGGGGAAAATTGTATATACTAAATACCTAAGATAGATTTCTAAGTTAGGGGAAAATTGTATATACTAAATACCTAAGATAGATTTCTAGGCTAGGGGAAAATTTTATACTAAATTTCTAAGATAGATTCCTAGGCTAGGGGAAAATTATATACTAAATTCCTAAGATAGATTTCTAGGTTAGGGGAAAATTGTATACTAAATTTCTAAGATAAATTCCTAAGCTAGGGGAAAACTGTAAACTAAATTCCTTAGATAGATTTCTTAGCTAGGGGAAAACAGTATATACTAAATTCCAAAGATAGAATTCTTAGCTAAGGGAAAACTGAATACACTAAATACCTAAGATAGATTTCTAAGTTAGGGGAAAATTGTATACTAAATTTCTAAGATAGATTTCTAAGTTAGGGGAAAACTATGTACTAAATTCCTAAGATTGATTTCTAAGATAGGAACAACTGTTTTACATGAAAATAGATTTTAAAGCTAGGAACACCTGTTTTACATGAAATTCCTGAATAGATTTTAAGCCAGATTAACCTTGCCTATGAAATTCCTAGGATAGATTTCTAAGCCAATCACATCACTTTTCATTGTAGGCCACACCTCTGAGAAGTACAGCAGGCAGTCATGGGGGGTCTCCTCCAGATATTGACCGAAAACCAGAAGACAGTGTGGACAGCTGGACAGCCGGACAGCCATCACTGGGAGGACAGACGCCATTGGGCTTCATGCACAACATGGAAGGTGACGGTGGGGAGGGTTACAGCCATCATGAACAGGAAGACATCAAGAGACCAATGGTTTGAGGTCAAAGGTCACTGAAGAAA